TAACAGAGTAGTAATTTACTGGACTGTGGTGGCCAACTCAAAACTACATATTTTTTTTTGGTTGATGTAGCGAGGTACAGCTGCTCCGCTGACACTAAAACTAATAATATTAATTGTTCCGGACTGTAATCGATTTTTGTTGCTATATCTCTGCTAAACCGTACTTACAAGACAAAACAAAAAAAGACACAAAAACAACAAAAAAAAACAAGTTCAGATCAAAGGTCAAAGAAACCCTGCTGAGACGCGTTCTGGAATCACACAACTGCAAAAGAAACTCGATCCTTCACGAAAAAAAAGAAAAATACATAAAAAACTTGCCGCACGCCCTCTCCGGAGAAAAGAAAGAGAAAAAAGACTATTTCAGAGAGAGCGGAGTCCGGCCTGGGATAGCTTCATTGTGTAGCACCGCCCCTCATGCACAGGATCCGCCCTGGAGGAACTCCTAAATGTCACCTATGTGTGCGTGTGTGTGTGTGTATGGTTTTTTTTTTTTTTTTTCTTTTGGGGTATGTGAACTTCATTCGACGACGGAAAGGCTTTGAGAAAACTCTGTGACTTTTATTTCCGATGGACAATTTGATTTTAATTGTCAGCCAAAAAGAAGATAGACTTTTTTTTTTTTTAAATAAAGAGACCTGTTGGCTCCATTTTGTCAGGCCTATGCTGAGCCAGTACCAGATACAAAAAAAATAATCTCTGTGGTCTTAAAAATAACACTAAAAGTCCAAGAACTCGCAGAAACGAGGACAGAGTCTGGACCAAAAATAAAGAGAAAGGAGGTCATGAGAGAGAGATTGAGAGAGAGAGAAACGGTTCCGGATGGTCGCTAGATAGACTGGTATTCTCCCAGGGAGCAATCGGCATATATAACGTGAACTCTTGTACATTGAGTTATTTTACTCACCCCAGTGAGGAAGACTCACTCATAATGAGTGGAATCGTCTATAATAAGAGTAAGACTCGCTCAATGAGCGCAGCTTGCTGTTGAGACTTGTTTATGTTGAGTGAGGCTTTTTTTTGCAAGCTTCCCCCCCAACCCTTCCACCAACCTTGCCTCCCCCAACCCTTCCACCAACCTTGCCTCCCAACCCTGCCACCACTACCACCAAGTCACAGAACCAGGACTGGCTCAGCATGTCTGAGAATGTGAACCAAAGCTGGTCCAGGCACACATTATGGCAACGTAACCCTGAGTCCTGGAGCTGCATTATCTTGTGGCGTCACTGGAGTCTATACAAATGTATTCACTGTAACCTTGTCTATGTCGCTCATGTATACAGACACACACACACGCATGCCTGCCTACGCCTCCCCGGGTTTTGAAGGTTCCATGTGCCTTGCAGCCACACAACCCAAGTGAGGCTCCTGCACCAAGAGGCCCTGACGTGTATATATGTTCTGCCGAAAGGACTTAAGTGCCAAGGAAAGATTTACGATGACATGAGCAAAGGGTGAACTCCCGCATTTGGGGTGGGACTCTGCTCCTTTTGCTGCTAGACTGTGTTAGAGGGCAAAATTAAAATGCAAAAACCACAAAGCCGTCTTGAAGGGGACGGATTCTTCGCTGAGGTGACAGGTCTGTGTGGTTGGAAGACGTGCGGTGATCAGTGTTAACCCTTCCGAGGCAGGGGAAGCTTCCAGGTGATCATGTTGCAGGCTTGCTGCTTGCAAAGCCATTCATTACATGCGAAAGCCCCCAG